CCAGCATACAGATCTGTGGGTGACCTAACAGTCAGTTCCCAGCAGGCACTGAGGGGTCTTACCATGGGGAGCTAGTCTGTTTTTTATTTATTTTGTTGTTGTTTTTCAGTCTTCCTCACAAAACATGAAAAGCAAAGTAAACCATTTTCAGTTAATTACACGAGGCCCGCTTACGGAGCCCGGTGTCACCCCACGAAACCACAGAATGGCGTGTGTTCCGAGGGTCGGCCTGGGCTGTCTAGTGTCCAGGCTGATCAAGCCGCCAGTGGGTTAGGCAAGTAAGTGCAGTTCTATAAAAGTCACATGTTAAGAAAGGAAGATGGCCTAGAACCTCCCCCCGCCTCACCCTCCCCTGGCCCAGTTCTGTAAGACACAGGTCCCATTCCCACAAGCATCACCAGGGATGCAGGTCACATTACGGATTCCGGGCCCAGCAGAGAAGAGCTGAAGCTGAGGCAGGCTGTATCTTGTGGCACCCAGGCACCTGTATCTTACAAGGTCCTGAGGCCAGCGGTCCTCACCCTCGGCCACATTCAAGGTCCAGCCCAGGCGCCTCAGTCTGGCTGCCTGGGGCCGGTGGCCAGACACCAGCGTTTATGAAAGCTCCTGGGTGGTTCTGACAGCGATGACGCTTGGGAGCCGCCCCGGGAAGTGACTGAGACGCTGCCCTGAGGTCGCTGATGATGGAGGTGGCGGCTGAGAAGACAGAAGCAGGCAGGGGCCTGAGCCCTGGGTGCCTGGCCCGGGAAGCATCAGGGCACAGCCCCACCCTCCTGTCTTCCCCATAGACACAGTGGCATTCTCGGGGAGTCCGCCTCCAGAAGCATGTCGTAAAAGAGACTTCTGTGTGAACAACTGCAGTTTGGAAGTAGCCAAGGCTGTTCTTGACTCTCTCTGGCCTCCCACTGCTGCTGCTGCTGCTGCTAAGTCGCTCCAGTCGTATCCGACTCTGTGCGACCCCATAGACAGCAGCCCACCAGGCTCCCCCCGTCCATGGGATTTTCCAGGCAACAGTACTGGAGTGGGTTGCTATTGCCTTCTCCTCTGGCCTCCCCTGGACGATAGATGCTCTCCTCACTGTCTGGTTGTTATCCTTCCCTTTTTTCACCCTTAGCTTCTGCTGTTAGAAAAAATGACCTAGGCCCCACACAGCAGTGACCTTACAACGGTCCTTGTGCCAAGACCAAGGGCACGTGGAGAGGCAATGCCATCTTGGGCACTCAAGATGGCTGGTGTGTGTGTGTGTGTGTGTGTGTGTGCGCGTGCATGTGTGTGTGTGTGTGTGCAGTCACTTTCCCTGGGATGGGTGCTAGACAAGGCAGTCGGGATTCAGAGGGTCATGCACCTATCCCAGGAGACCTCAGGCCCTGCATTTAAAGGGCCTCCCACCCACAGCTCTCAAGGACCTTCTAGGGCTGGGAGCTTTCCTACCACTAGATGGCGCCAACAGCAAGGGCTTGGCTCAGAGGACCCCGCCCCTTTCCCTCCAGTCCCAAGGCTGCCCTCACCTGCTTCACTGTCCAAAGCGGGGCTTTCACTGGGGCTTTCCTTGAGGAGTTCTGTGCCCTGGGGCTCCCGGCCAGTAACTGGAAAACAGGCTTCCTTCTGGGGAGCTGTAACTTGGTATGGAGGCAGCAAGATGAGTGGTGACCCTGGCCCCAGCTCAGCTCAAAGGGTGCAGACCCCTAGGCCCTGCGATGGGCCCTCTTGGGTGAGGGAGGTGTGCATGAGCATGGCAGTGCAAGTGCAAAAGTCTTGCTTTTGCGTGTCTGCACACACAGTACTTCTGTGTACACGATGCCCCCCCCACACCCCCCCAAGGGGGCATTATTGTGGCCATTTCACAGACAAGGCCGTTGAGGCTCAGGAAGGTCAGGAAGCTTGTCCAAAACCACACAGAGGGAGCCCTCTTCTGACTGTTTTGGATCCCATGCTGTCTTCTTGACACTCGAACTTGGAAAAGAAAAGTCTCCAAGATGGTAGGTCCTGGAAAGTCAAGAAACTGCTACCAAAGTCCTTTGGAGTCAACAATCCCCCATCCCACCAAGTGACATTTCCATAGCCTGCTACGGTCATGCACCATGTTTCAGGCCCACAGAGAGAAGTAAGACGCAGACACTGCCCTTTACAAGCTCACATTTCTGTGAAGGAAACACTACTAATGCAACCTGGAAAAGGCATGGAAGGCTTCCTGGAGATGGCTTTCTTTTTTTTTGCTGTGCCAAGAATAGGTCTCTAGGGTCTAAGAGCTGTCAGAGATGGCCCGGGGGTGGGGGGGTCTCATAAATCTCTGGGCCTCTGGTGTCACAGCCTGACTAGGACAAGTCTCTCTTCATGGAGTCGGAAAGAGGAGGGTGTGAGTGCGTGCCTGTGTATGTGTGGTTTCATTGATTTACGGATTTGATGTTTTGCTGTGTCATGTGTTTTTTGAGGAAAAGCAAACAAGTGTAAGCAAACTAAATGATTTCCAGATGAAAACAGACCAGCATTGCTAACCTCAGAGCAATCTGTCCCCCTACAAGCAAACTTGAATCCAAGCATAGAGGTGACTAAACCTCAAATCAAGGTTTGAGTTTTTGACTTTCAAAGGCCCTTTGTCAAATCAACATTCACCGCACTTGTCTTGTGCCAAACCTAGAACCCAGAGCCCAACAAATCCAGCCCTTCAACCTGCACCACCTCTCCTGGTCTCTGGTTCTTACAACCAAGGGCGCAGGGATGCAGACCACTCACCTCAGCAGAGAGCTTCCTGCGCTGGTGGTCAGAGAGCTCCCAGGGCTGCCCTGGTGCCCCCCACCCTCCACACAGCCTCACGTTGTAATAAATCACCTCTATCGTCTATCTCTCCTGTAAGCCATGGTCCCATACACACAGGAGATGCTTAACTTCATCTTCAAATGCTTAAAACAGAAGCAAGATGGTGAACTAGCTCAGCAAATGTTCACTGAGTGACTGAAAGAGCAGGCAGAGGTCAAGGGCGCAGAGACGAGAGCTGGGTATCTAGCCCGTGATGTGGCCACGTCATCTTGGACACCCTCTGCCTCTCTGAGTCTCGGTTTCCTCTCCAGGAGAAGGAAATGGCAACCCACTCCAGTACTCTTGCCTGGAAAATCCCAAGGATGGAGAATCCTGGCAGGCTACAGTCCATGGGGTCGCAAAGATTTGGACACGACCGAGTGACTTAACTTTCTTTTTCTTTTCCTCTCCAGGAAGAGGGAAAAGAATCTGTCTGAATAGCTCAGTATCTGTTTTGTTCAAAGAGTGAAATGCAGTTCTATAAACCCACAGAACAGGGCTCCTCTGGTTCAGGATGGAGGGGACAGGCTGTGGGGGCCCCCACCTCTGCTAACCTCAGAATTCAGGAGTCACTGCTGAGAAGCCCAGACAGGAGACTCTCCTGCCGGGACCACCGGCGCGGGGGTGGGGAAATGGCTGGGAGCTGCCTACAGTCCTCACGCTCCATCCTCAGGCAATTCTCCTCCTCTCTGGGCTGAGGTTTCCTCGAGGGTACAGAGTGAGGGGCCAGGATGGAGGGGCTGGGCAGGTGACTGGATCTCTGAGATACAGGCAGTTTGAAGCTGGTAATACTGACCCCAGAGCCTCCTCCCTTTCCATCAGCCTCATCTGCAGCACAGAAACACTCTTTGGGGCTTAACTCCTGTTCCCCGTGGGCTTGCTGTCTTGTCCATCATATCTGCCAGGATATAGATGAATATACTGCCTGTGGATGGGAATGGGGTTCTGGGAAGGAGCACAGGTGGAGCGAAGTGGAGTGGGTATCCACCACCCTCAGCACAAAGTCAGACCCCTCTCTGCAGGGCTGGCACTGGACACAGGATCAGTCTCCCCATGGGGCAGAGCGGGCCAGCAGCAGCAGCCACGAGGCTGGACACCCATTGCCACCACCAGTCCCTGTAGCCCCTTCCCGGCGCTCACAGGGGAAAGTAATTAATGATAATGATAATAATAGGATGACAGGTCGGCTGACCAAAACCTGGCTGTACATATGTATATTGTCTATATGTGGAAGTTATAAAGAAGACACAAATGAACTTAATAAAACAGAAACAGACCCACAGGCATAGAAAACAAATTGACGGTTACCAAAGGGAAAGGGGGAGGGATAAATTAGGAGTTTATGATTAACACATGCAGACGATGCATAAAGGGCTTTGCTGAGGGTTCAGCAGTAAAGACTCTTCCTACCAGTGGAGAAGACAATGGTTCAGGAAGATCCCCTGGAGGAGGAAAAAGACAACCCACTCCAGTATTCTTGCTTGGAAATCCTGTGGACAGAGGAGCCTGGCAGGCTATAGTTGAAGTGGTGGTAAAGAATCAGACACGACTTAGCCACTAAACCAACCAACCAACCTACAAATGTATTAATATGTCTAACTGAGTCACTGTGTGTAACTGAATGTGCACACAGTATACACAAATGTATAATGAATACAGCTAATATATATAACTGAATACACGTGAAACTAATCCAACAGTGTAAATCAACCATACTTTAATCTAAAAAAAATATATGAGTCAGCTCTTAAGGACCCTTAGTGCAGAGAGGGTGCATCCATAGGACAGAGAGAAAAGGGCGATGGGGTGAAGAGAGAGTCGGGTTTTGGGGCTGAGTCTACCGTGGTGACTCATCAGAAGGCATTTTCTCAAAGCTCTCTCTTCTGCAAAGGAGGCCGACTCACCGACCTCCCAGGTTGCGGGATGGTCAGAGGGGAAGGAGACACCCATGGGCTCAGAGAGCTGGCAGGAAGCCTGACCCAGCACCCCAGGCAGGGGAATTCGGGCAGCTGACTTCTTGTCCTAATGCCAGCTCCTCCATCCTAGTGAGGAGACAGGAGGTGTCTGGCCATCCAAAGCATGGCAGAGAGTTGGAATTTGACGTGAACCTTTGGAACTCCGTGAAGATGGGAAGGCGACTGTGGGCCTTTGGCCTGGGACCCCTCTTCCGGGCAGCCTCCTTTATGTCTTCCCTCCCCCCGCAGGCCCTCTCTCTAGCCCCCACGGCCATGGGCCCCACCGCGGCCCCGCTGGAGGACACCACGCGCCCTCAGTTTTGCAAGTGGCCATGCGAGTGCCCGGCGGCCCCGCCCCGCTGCCCGATGGGCGTCAGCCTCATCACGGATGGCTGTGAGTGTTGTAAGGTGTGTGCCCAGCAGCTGGGGGACAATTGCACGGAGGCTGCGGTCTGCGACCCCCACCGGGGCCTCTACTGCGACTACAGTGGGGACCACCCGAGGTACGCAGTAGGAGTGTGTGCACGTAAGTGAGACCCCCCACCATCAGCCAGCCCCAGACCCCCAGCTCTGGCCCACAGCAAGCCCCCACCATCCATAACCCTTGCTCTGGCCAGGCTTGGTTCTTCAGGAGGTACCCAAACCTACTCCCCCTCCACCCCAGTCCATGATGACGGGCCGGAGGCTGACCAGGGAGGGATGCAGCGTTCCTCTTGCATATGGACCTTGTCTTCTCTGGCCTCCATCTGTGGATGAGTCTAGGGAAGAAGGATCCACCAGGAGAGACCTAAGCCTCGTTCTCTTCTCCCCATGGTAGAACACTTTGCAGGATGCCCGGGACCTCCCACGGGCACTAGGACCCTGTGGAGCTCCAGATATTTTAGTAACATTGTCAATTAACATAATCTGGTATGAAAACATTTAGTAACCTTGAAAGAACAAAAAGCAGCAGCCTGAAGCCATCTCTTCCTACCACCCACCCACGTTGCTCTAGTTCACTACAGTCACTTTTAACTTTTTGGCCCTTTCTTCTGGTAATTGCAACTATTCTAGCATGTCTTGTTATATCTTGATCAGCTTAAAATATCAATTGTGCGTAATCTATAATTGTGGGTGATCCTATATGATAGTTCACTTAGCTCCTTAATACTGCCTGACACCTCCCCCAGCTTCCAATATGTCATATTTTTTATTATAAACCACTATTTGACCACTGTGTACAATATTAGGACGATGTAAATGGTTTTCGCTGCTGCATGAGGTAGTATACTTGTTTGAATTTCCTTTATTATGAAGTTTTTTTTTTCTTGGAGTTTCTACTTGCTTTTGTTCTTTTTTACTCTTGGTCTTTATGATAGCCCCATACTGGGGGAGAAGCTGTTGTTTTTTGTTTGCTTTTTCGTTTGCTCTTCAAAGGGTTATATCATTTCCTTTGTTGTTCCCAGAGGCCTCCTTTCTGGGGCTTTCTGGTCTCCTTCTGTCTGGGCTGGCATTCACTTACCTCGAATCATATGAGCATTTATTCAATATACATGACCAGTATGAGATGAAAAGAGGTAAATTAGCATCATGAAGTGAAGTGCAAGTTGCTCAATCATGTCCAGCTCTTTGAGACCCCATGGACTATACAGTACATGGAATTTTCCAGGCCAGAATACTGTAGTGGGTGGCCATTCCCTTCTCCAGGGGATCTTCCCAACCCAGGGACTGAACCCGGGTCTCCTGCATTCAGGCAGATTCCTTACCATCTGAGCCACCAAGAAAGCCCAAACAGGCATCATGGCAGCAGCTTAACTTCTGAAAAGTAACACAAAACCGCATAAACTCAAGAACTCCTTTCTTGCCTTAAGGCTGAATCAAGCTTTCCTCATGCCTGTGACTCTAATATACCCTACTTCATGCTCACACACAGTTATCTTCAGCTAACTCATATTTCCTGAAGTGTCATTGATGAGGGTTACACATAGAATTTCAAATCAAGATACTTATGGATTTACGGTTAATCTATGAGCACTTTCTGCTCTTTTGACATTAATTCCTGCTTCAACTTTCATATCAAGCCATCTTGCATTCCAAGTAACCATCACTGGTTCTCCCATCTTTCCATGTTTCCCCCTTTTATGGAGACTCGTTATTAACCCCACAAACCAGTGTGTTCAAAGAGAACCTGCAGATTCCATCTGCATAGAATCATCTGACATGTTGGTTAAAAATGTTTTTCTGAGCCCCACCCCGGCCTTACTCACTCCAGTTCTTTGGAAGTGGGGGTGGGAGTGGACAACTTTTAACAAGCTCCTTGGGTGACTCTCATACTCAGGTTTGAGACTGATGGCCAAAGTATACAGTCACTCATATACTCTCTCCCCGCACCCAGGTAAGGAAACCAGGCTGAGCCCTCCTGCACTAGAATCCCCTCCACTTCTACGAGACTGTCTCATCATTTCTTTCCTCTTTTACAGCTGTCCTTCAAGGCAATTCATTGGGACTGTATCAGTCTCTAAAGTTCCACTGACACCTCACCACGTGCCAGGAGGCACCACAACTTTATAGACATTCTCTCATGGACCCATAGACTCTGCAGACCCACAAATGCCTCTCCTGCCTGTCTTTAGCACCCAGGACCTGGAAAATCACCTAGCTCTACTCCACTCCCCCACCTCTTTAGATGTCACCTCTTTACTCAACATAGCCTCTTGGTTCCCCCTTATCATGAGTCTTCGTGTAGCTTCTTTCCTCGCATTTGGAAAGAAGATGGTGGATTTCAGGATACTGTAATAAATATGACATGGGCCAACGGTTTTCCAGTCACAGAGATCTACAGACATTGAAATAAATAAGGTTCAACAAGGGGAACAGACTTTTTCAGAGGTGTTACATGTCCACATCCATTGTGAAATTCTAAGAACAGAGCTATCACAGGAAGACTTTTTAAACTTATTTGCATAGTGAATACTTTTTTCCAGGCAGATTTTTACCCAATTATCCACCTGCACACCACACACACACACACACACATACACACACACACACAATTCCTCCATGTTCTATGGAACATCATCTCAGAAATACTGCCATAGTGTCTAAATTCATGAAACCCTAATGCAATAAAGAAGAGAGTCCAGGGTCTGAAAGCTATAGAGAGAAAGATGTTTGGGGGCCAGAGGGGAAAGAGAAAGAAGAGATTATTTACATAGAAAAATCTGTCAGCAAATGGCCAACCAATGGACATTCCCCAGGACAGGCTAAATCTGTCCTTAGAGATGTGCTTGTAATTAGGCCAGGACAAGGCAATAAAAAACAAGAAGTTGCAACACTGCCATAAACGACTCAAAGAGAGGATGGTGGGGACTATGGCAAACTAATAAACGTAAACTTTAGCCATTGAGGTCAGGCAGAAAAGGGAGCCTGATCTGGTCTAGTCTACTTACCTTTCAAGAGAATCCAGAAAAAGAAAATCCAGGTTCATGTATGATTTGTAATTCTGGCAACGCATTCAAAACATTTTTTAAAAAACACTCCATGGGCCAAACTAAATACATCTGTGGGCAGAGAGTGACCTCTGAATTAAACTGTTTGGCTATTTTGGTTGTGCAAACATGACTCTGCATTCAATGCAACTGGGTCAGGATGGAGGGCAGTGTGGTTTGCTGGAAGGGTCATGAAATTTACAGGCAGACAGACTTGGGTTTTGAATCCTGGCTCTGCCACTTGCTGGCTACGTGACCGTGGGCACATTACTTAAGGAGCTTGATCGAACCAACCCTATATGATGGTTGAGGCTAAACAAAGAATTTCACAAGAGCCTAAAATGTGATCAGTTTCTCTTGGATACTGCTTCACATTTCCTTTGTAGAAGTCCCCTTAGCTTTGTCCAGGCTTATCCTCAGAGTCTGGGAGGCAGGGCTAGTTTCAAGCTCTGACTCTCCCATCTGATGAGTAAAGGAGCAGAAAACCCATGCATGGTGTTTGAAGCTAGACAACCTAACTTCAAACCTCAGCGACATAATCAACTAACACAATGGGTCTAGGGAAGCTGCGTAACCTTTTTAAGTGTCAGTTTCTTCATCAAGGAAAATGCAATGAATAATGCCTACCTTTTTGGGTGGTTTGGATGTCAAGTGCCTGATACATGGGAGAAGCCCAATATAGAGTAGGGCTAACCCCACCTGATATCCATCCCTCCACTCACTGCTTCATTCACTCATAATGAACACAGGTTAGTGATGGTACATCAGTGGGGTTACAACAAGGCATAGCCCACTGTCCTTGCTCCTAGGAAGCTGACCAGGGGTGGACCGAGAAGAGTAAAGGTCTGGATGGCACAGCAAGGGGCCTTGAATTCCCAGAAGTCCCTCAATAAGAGGAAAGCCCACCAGGTCATGCCTGAACGGACCCACAAGTCTGAATGGTGAAGGAGGTTGGGCTACCTTCCCCGTCTGATCAGAAGCTGGTCCTTCAATCAGCTATAAAGAAATCGAATAAGGAAGGGGTGCAAGAGCCTGCCGGTGGGACCATCACAGCCATCCCACATACCATCCATCTTTGCCTCCACCCCCCCCAAACCTCCCAGGAGACTGTGAACAACTTCTGGAGGCAAAAGGTCCCAATCTTGGCTGCAAACTGGATTCACCTGGGGAGCTGCTGCTACGTCGCTTCAGTCGTGACCGACTCTGTGCGACCCCATAGACGGCAGCCCACCAGGCTCCTCCGTCCCTGGGACTCTCCAGGCAAGAATACTGGAGTGGGTTGCTATTTCCTTCTCCAATGCGTGAAAGTGAAGTCTCTCAGTCGTGTCCAACTCTTCATGACCCCATGGACTGCAGCCTACCAGGCTCCTCCATCTATGGGATTTTTCCAGGCAAGAGTACTGGAGTGGATTGCCGGAGCTACCAAGGTCGAAAAATGAAAAGTAAAAATACAGAAGTCCAAGTCCACTCCCAGGTACTGGGGCGTGGTGTGGGCATCATGATTTTAAAGAGCTCCCCCAGGGAGTGCCACTGTGCCGCTGGCGATGGGAACCACCGTGCTAAGGCTCCCAGCACCCAGCAGTGCCCTCGCCACCCAGAGTTCCTACACCCAGGGGCAGAGACCGGCTCCAGCACTCCATTCTCCCATCCACCAACACACAGGCATGCACACACTCCCTGGAGTGAGAGGGCATGGCCAGGCTCAGAATGAAAGATGAGTGATTCATCAGGTGATTCATTCATTGTTTTGCTTTCCTATTTCCCCTCCTTTACTGGTGTCCGATGGAAGGAAATGGCGGTGGAGTCAGAGCTTGGGGGTGCAGCTTCATCAGACGCCAGCTGGGGGACTTGGAGCAGATGAATCACTGTCCCCCCACCCACCCAGCTCCCCTCTCTGCCAAAGAAAGAAAACAAAGCTCTCCTAGGACAGTCACCGAGAGACTGTGTGAGATAACTTAGATGGTGCCTGGCTCCAGATCGGACGGGCAGCGTTAGTGCCCTTCCTGTCTGTACCTCCTCCCCCAGATCAATCACCTCCCAGGAAAACCAGCAGTCACCCCAACATCCCCAAAGGCTGCTATCCTGCCCCCTCCACTTGCTGAACCGAGCGCTGTCACTTTAGGCGTGTGACTCAACCTCACTGAGACACAGGTTTGTAGCAGGTGAAAACGCAGGTGATGACGTGGTCCTGTTTCCTTCTGGGATGAAGTCGGCGATGCAAGGAAGCCTAACACAAAGCAGGTCAGGTGACCAAGAACCTTCCCTCCTGTGAGATAAAGGGATGATGGTGGCGGTGATGGTTCGGCTTCAGGTGAATCCAGGAGATACGCTGGAACTACTGACAGGCCAGCACTCCTGGGGTGAGTGCCCCTGGCTGCCCTGGGCTTTCTGTCTGCATATCTAGACATTGTCCTCAGAATGGGACTAAGATGGAAAGCCGGGATGCTGTTCGGAGCCCAGTAGACCTGCATCTTTTCTGGAGCTCCAAGTTTGCAGAACTGGCTCCACTCTGAAGTCCACTAGGCAGCTCGAGACTAGGAAAGAGCTTGAGGCCACCCACCCCAACCTTGCTCTTCTGAGGACAGAGCATCCCTGTCCTTCCAGGGCTCGGGACATAGAACGAGGAGTCCTCCTTGATTCTCCTCTCATCCTCACATCCCACCTGTCAGCGATTCCCTCCAAACAGACTCAGAAGCGGGGCCCTTCTCCTCCTGGCTGCCCGGCCCTGGTCCAAGCACCACCGCCTCTTATCTGCTCTTATCTGGGTTCCCCGGCATGACTTTCTGACTCTGCCGGGACCCTGTCGGTCTGTCCTCAACTCAGCACCATCAAGGTTTTTGTGAAGCATAATTCATATCGCCGATTCATCATTACTCACTGAGCACATACTGTGTATCAACCGGAGTTCCAGGCTCTAAGACCTTTGCATTTTCCTCTGAGCCTCCAGGGAAGCCCTCTCTCCCCTCATCTCCTGCCTCCAGCCCTTCTCCCTCCCTCCCCTCCCCTTTCCCACCCCAGGCCTTCCTGCTGCCTACAGTCCCTTCCCTGCCTAGAAGGCTTCTCTCCCAACACCTGGGCAGCTCAGCTCCCCGCCTCCTTCCCATCTTTGCTGAAAAATCATCACCTCTGTGAGGCCCTGTCTATCCGCCTTGTTTAAATCTGAAAATTTCCCCCTCCCTCTTCCAACTCCCTGCTTTCATGTCCTCATCAACACTCTAGATGGTCCACTGTCTCCTCTGTCCCCTTTCTTCTCTGGTGGTTCAGACACTAAAGAATCTGCCTGCAATGCAGGAAACCTGGATTCAGTCCCTGGGTTGGGAAGATCCCCTGGAGGAGGGCATGGCAACCCACTCCTATATTCTTGCCTGGGGAATCCCATGGACAGAAGAGCCTGGCAGGCTATAGTCCATGGGGTCGCAAAGAGTCAGATAGGACTGAGAGGCTAAGCACACAGGCACAAGCTCATTGAAATCGTGACTTTTGTCTCCTTCCTTCACTACTAAATCCCCAGCACCTGGGACACTCCACAAAATAGGCGTTGAATGAACCCAGTCTCTTCCAAAGTGTTCTGATGGGTTTCCCATCGCATCTGCCTCCTCTCACAACTGTGGCCCTTGAGGCGGGTAACTGTCAGGACCAGGCTCTGTGCCACTTGCTGGGACAGGACACTGGGCTAGCTGCCCGGGGTCCTAGTCCTGGCCAGTCTGTAGCCTCCCACCCCTTCGTCCAGCCCTCCAGACGGGCACCGGGTGTTTCTGCGCGAGTTCAATGGGCGACCACACCCTCCGCTCAGGTCCCATTGCCCCAGTCCCTCTCCACGATGGGGACCCCGGGGCGTGGGGTGCGGGGCCGTGGTGCAGCGGCAAGAGGCTGCCCTGCGGGGTCTGCCCGGCCCCTCGGCCGGCCTGACCCTCGGCGCCTGTGTCCGCAGAGGTGGTCGGCGTGGGCTGCGTGCTGGATGGCGTGCGCTACAACAACGGCCAGTCCTTCCAGCCCAACTGCAAGTACAACTGCACGTGCGTGGGCGGCGTGGTGGGCTGCACGCCGCTGTGCCTCCGCGCGCGCCCCCCGCGCCTCTGGTGCCGCCGCCCCCGGCGGGTCAGCGTGCCCGGGCGCTGCTGCGAGCAGTGGGTGTGCGAAGACGACGCCAGGAGGCCCCGCAAGACGGCGCCGCGCCACACGGGCACCTCCGGTGGGTGCGGGGCGCGGGCGCGGGGCGCGGGGAGGGCCGCCCCAGCCCGCGGAGGAGGGGATGGCGAGCTCGGTCGGTCCCCAGCGGGCCTCTTAGAACAGAGCCACCGGGTGGGGCCGGGGGGCGGCGGCGGCATGCCCACCGCGTCAGTGTGTATGGCCCAGTGACCTCCTTCTGAGCGAGCACAAGCAGAGCCCCTGCCGCTTGGGTGACCTAGAAACCAAAGCCTTTTCGTCCTCCTCGGCAAATCCCTGCCCACCGCCGCCTCCCTCGCAGCCCGCCCTCCTCTCGTCCGTCCTCAAAGGCCTCTGTTGTCTCTGGTCTCCCGAGCATCCTCTTCTCTCACTCATCCATTCCTGCGTTCCTTCATCCATCTCCCCTGCGCACCTGCTGTCTCTCCCTGCCGGTTCCCCTCTCTGGCTTCTGGGCATGTGTGTTACCAAGAGCGACCAGCTTCCTCTTCCCGTCTTTTTCTTGTGGATCTTGCTCCATCCCTCTGTGAGATCGCTCCTTGGTCTCCCTGGCTCTGCACCTGTCTCCACCTCTCAGCTCACTCCCTTTTCCATTTCTCAGACACTTATGGGCCCTCCCCGTATTCTGCTTGCCAGGATACATCCATTGAAAGAACCAGCCAAGAGTTGGCATTTAGCCCCTGCTTCCTGAGGCTTACTAAGGATGGGGACAGCTTTGGGGCCCTGTCACGTGCCTGAACCCGTATTGTCTATCCACAACCAGGAACAGGAGGCAGGGAGGTGCTAGTGTCAACCCCACTTACAGGCGGGGAGCTTGGGGCTCAGAGGTGGGAGCCAGTTTATTGGAAGCTATCCAGATGCTAAGGGGCGGCGCTCAGAGCTGAAGTCTACAATTTGCCTCTGAAGCCTGCGTGTCTCCTTAGCCACGATGCCCTGAGCTTCACTCAGATGACATTCCAGTACTGGGCAAGCACTCCCCTTGACCTTCCCCAGATAATGTCATCTCCGCCGGGGCAGGACCGGTATCTTTTACCCTTTTATTCCCAGCACCTTGCAGATGCCTGATGTGTACTCGGTCAATATCTGGACCCTTTTATTGCCATACCAGCCCTGCAGGGCAGATGTTATTGTTCCAGAGAAGAGCCTGAGGCCCAGAGTAAGTTGTTTAGAATCAGGTCCACCTGTCTCTAAAGATGGTCCTCCCTCTGGAGAAGTATGAGGAACTCATAACAAATTCTCTTCTCCCTGGGGACCCATGCTAGTTAGAAGCCAACTTGACCTCCAGGCGGAGGGACTGCCCCCCCTCTGAGGTTCAGGGACCCCAGCCCTTAGGGTTGTGATGGCAGGGATTGGGGGGCTGATGGAGGCTGGGAAATCACTGGGCACCTGGTCCGCATCTGCAGGGACCACAGATGAGACGGAGCCATGGCACAAGAACTGCATCACGTACACCAGCCCCTGGAGCCCCTGTTCCACCAGCTGCGGCCTGGGGGTCTCCACCCGCATCTCCAACGTCAACGCCCGGTGCTGGCCTGAGCAGGAGAGCCGCCTCTGCAACCTGCGGCCATGCGACGTGGACCTCCAGCCACACATCAAGGTGGGTCCGCCTCCCAGGGAGTGGCAGGCGTCTCGGGTCAGGAAGATCCACTGGAGAAGGGATAGGCTACCCACTCCAGTATTCTTGGGCTTCCCTGGCGGCTCATCTGGTAAAGAATCTGCTTGCAGTGCGGGAGACCTGGCCTCGATCCCTGGGTTGGGAAGATTCCCTAGAGGAGGGAAAGGCTACCCACTCCAGTATTCTAGCCTGGAGAATTCCATGGACTGTATACTCCATTGGGTCGAAAAGAGTTGGACACAACTGAGCGACTTTCACTGAAGATAGCTCTCAGATTGTATGAGCTTCAGGCCCACATATTGCCTGGATCGGCTCCACCCCCATTTCCTGCAGGGTGCTGTGCATAGTTGACCAGAACAGCCGTTCGTTCAATGAGTTTAGTACGTGCCTACTGGGGCTTCCCTGGTGGCTCCGTGGTAAAGAACCCGCCTGCCAATGCAGGAGACATGGGTTGGATCCCTGGGTTGGGAAGAGCTCCTGGAGAAGGAAATGGAGACCCACTGCAGTATTCTTGCTTGAGAAATTGCATGGACAGAGGAGCCCAGCGGGCTACAGTCCATGGGGGTCTCAAAAGAATCGGAATCAACTTAACAACTAAACAACAAGAGCCATGAACCAGGCAGAAAACTAGACTGTAGGGATGCAGAGAGAGCCTTGCCCTTGAGTGGCCCACAGCCCCACAGAGCTCCCTTTAAATAATGCCAGTTCAATTGAATAAGTTGCATGAAAAGAATGTGTGTGAGATTCTATGGGAGGCAGAGGGGAAGGAGTTTAGGGTTAAATGAGTCAAGTCTTGGAGGCCGTGATGGCTCTGCCCCTAACCAGCAGGGGGCCCCCGAAGTAATCCTGTGTTGGAGAAACTGACCTGGGCATTGGCAAGGCAGAAGGCGGGAAAGAAGGGAAACTGCAGGTTGAGAGAGCTGTGCCGCGGCAAGGCAGGCTCTTTCTGCGCTCGGCTTCCTCTTGCATAATACAGCTGGGTCTTGTTGCTTTTGGGGTGATCCTTCGTAGTTTGAAGATGCTGCAGATCCGAAAGTAAGATGGGGTGCATGGCGAGTGAAAAGGGAAGAATTGAGGGTTTGGAGCTGCAAATGTTGATCCTCTGAGCATCTCAACTGAAACCTCCTTTCACGCAGGAAGGGAAGAAGTGTCTGGCCGTGTACCAGCCAGAAGCGCCCGTGAACTTCACGTTGGCCGGCTGCACCAGCACTCGCGCGTACCGGCCCAAGTACTGCGGGGTCTGCACGGACAGCCGGTGCTGTATCCCCTACAAGTCCAAGACCATCAGTGTCTCCTTCCAGTGTCCCGATGGGCCCGGCTTCTCCCGCCAGGCCCTGTGGATTAATGCTTGCTTCTGCAATCTGAGCTGCCGGAATCCCAACGATATTTTTGCCGACTTGGACTCCTACCCTGAATTCTCAGAGATTGCCAATTAAGCAGCCTTAGAACCTGGGCTTGAGGCTGACCCAGTGCTTGTAAGGCAGCCAGCCTTCTGAGGCCCCCACTGAGCCTTCTTTTGTCCACTTCCCACTCATTTCCAATGACCCAGATCCAGACCCGTGACCCCTTGTCCTGTCTCCAACCACCCAAAGCACCCATCACGGCACGCTCAGGCCCAGACAGTGGGTCTTCTCCTTGGCAGCGGTCCACATACACTCCAAAGAAAGTGCCCGGCTCTGGACAATACCCGAGCCCGATCCGGCCTGTCCGAGTCACTGGAAGTCCTGCTGGGTCTCGCCCAAGTCCCAAGAAACAGAATCAGCTGGATCTTCGGTATCACTAATTCCTTCTTTAGATACCAAACTACCAGACTCTCTGGGCCCATTCAGAAGGATAGAGGGGATTTAGGACAGTGGACCAGTCCATTCTTCGAGCCCTGCCAAGAAGGACCCTGATCAGCAGTTTTGACCACTGCACACCAAAGCTCTCTCTCATTCTAAAGACCTGTGCCTTCCATGGTCACCGAATATTCGCTAAATGAGGTAAATGGTTGTTTGGTTTCGGTTTTTGGATGGACATTTGTATCCATGAATCTGGGCATTGTGCAGTTAAGCTTCTGTTCACCCATTTCAGTTAAGTTTCTCTTCACTCCTGCACTGTGAAGGGTGTACATTGGGTTCATCCCAGTGAGAAATGCAAGCCGATAAACTTCCTCTTGTTTCTGGGAGAAGTCCCTGGTCAATAAACCAGGGTCAGAGCATGGGCAGTCTATCTTCAGAAGGAGCGATTGAGCCCTGCACTGAATCTGCTGCTCTCGGGCAGGGCAGGGCACTGGGCAGTCAGTCAGCCTCCTCCTCACACCTGACCATCTGCGTGCTGGGGCTCGTGGGACTTGGTGGGTCCCCTGGGACGACATCGCTGACCCCTCAGAGTGGTGTCCTGTGATGTCCTTCTGCTCTGAGGGAGCCTTGGGTCCAGGTTGAGTGTGAGTCAAAACAAAAAATAGGTTCACAAACCAAGAAGTGGGTCCAGTCTGCGTCACCCTGGGCCCAGGGCATGTGTCTCTCTGCCTCGGTGACCCACTTCGCAGACTGTGGGGCTACTGATCCATAAAGCTCAGTTCTGGTACAAAGACAGAAGTTTACCAGTTGTTTCAAAACAGAAGTATATTTAACAGGGATAAAAAGCCAAAAGGGTTTGATGCTAAAAGGAAGAGAAAGTTGTTATTAATGGAAATGAGGCTATTATTTATTTTATTAGTAAAGTATAAATATTTACTGCTACAGTTCTTTTATTTAGTACCTTCTACACGTCAGACATTGTTCTCAGCGCTTTATGTGCACCGTTACACTAGCTCATGGAAACTGGGAGGTCATGTTGAAAAGTGCCCGTTATTATTTCTGTTCTTACAAATGTGAAATGGAAGCTCAGTCAGGTAAGGGAGCTTGACCAAAGTTACCCAGCTGGTCAGTGGGGTAGTCAGGATGCAAATCCAAGTTGGATTGACTCTGTAACCCGTATTTTTCCCTCAACTTTTAGAGCTTCCAAATGCATCAGAGCAGGAAAACATGTCAGGATAAGCATCTTCTCGCTGTCATTTTTGGTTCTTATTACTGTCTCTCCATCTTCTTTCCCAAGAGAAGAGTGTATCTGACTTTCAGATTATTTAGATGTCTGAGCATCAGACAAAATCTAGGATAAACCGAAATCCATGACTCCCCTCCAGAGCATTCCCTCCTTCAAATCAGAACCAGCTCTCACTGTGTATTTAAAGGTGATTTTGTTACCTGATGCTGCAGACTGAAGGATGGTGCCTTTTTCATGAGGGAATTCTGAGTGCTGAGCAGAGGGATTCCTAGACAGGGGAAAGGGATTGAAAATGTGTCCTCCTTACTGTGACCTCCTGAATGCCTGGTGCAAGGCATACAGCGGTGCTCAATGTGTATTTGATGAATAAAGGAAATTGTGTATGTGTCTCTACATGTGTTCAGAAGATCTCTTTCTTTCAAAGGTACGTGAAAATCTAATTTTTATCAGCCAAATCTGAAATGCCGTAGAAAAAGAGACATTTAACATCAAAAGAAAGGCACATGTTCATTGAAAGAAAAAAAAAATTCCAAGAGTTCTTTTGTGAAGAGAATTTTGTTGTTGTTCAGATGTTCAGTCGTGTCTGACTCTTTTTTGACCCCCATGGGCTGTAGCTTGCCAGGCTCCTCTGTCCATGGGATTTTCCAGACAAGAATACTGGAGTGGATTGCCATTTCCTTCTCCAGGGGATCTTCCCAACCCAGGGATCGAACCCACAGTTCCTGGATTGGCAGGCAGATTCTTTACACTGAACCACCAGGGAAGAGAATTGACTCCATGAATAATCTTTCCTGTAAGTCCATGTGGATCATGTTGGATTTTTGTAGAGTGAGATCACCTGCCACCCACAGCTTCCAAGGACCAGGTGAGGGCTGACCCCTTTTGAAATTCGACAGACACCCAAGATCTAGGTTCTTTCTGAATTTGCTTCCCAATTCAGGAAAGTGAATGTGGCTTCCAAGATCATAGGAAGCCTGGATGAGGGACTTGGGGCTTTCCTCCCCAGGATGTGTGGGATGGGTCGGCCAGAATGCCCTTGTTTGAAAAATGCATCTGTCCTGTGCAGGCCCAGAGAGGAAGTCTCAGCTTCATGTTTTGAAGTCACGGGGAAGGAGGCAGAGCCATGGCGCGATCTGCTCCCACAAAAGTTAACAATCATGATGAAAAAAAATCTCTTTATTGAATGCTTACTTGGTGCCAATCCATCTGCTAACTTTTGAATTATCTTACTAATCATGGCAGCAAGTTTGAGCAAGCATCTCTTCCCCATTTTATAAATGGAAAATCTGAGACTCAAAGAGACTGGGAAATCAGCCCTCAAAAGTTGAAACCCAGATCTCTGCTTATTCCACTCTGCCTTGCTCCGGGAGATGGGGAAGGACAGGGAAGCTTGGCATGCTGCAGTCCATGGGGTCAGAGACACAAAGAGTCAGACACGGCTGAGCGACTGGACAACAACAACTTGCTTTTGGGGTGGCCTCCAGGCAGAGCCTGAATGAGGCCTGTTGGAGTGTCCACTTCTCCAGTCCCTTGTAACCCCATGTCCTGGGATGAGGGAAAGGTAAACTAAAGAATAGTCAACCTTTGGTGGAGAAATTCACGTAAGTGCTTAGGGTGAATATCTTGCATGCATAGATGAGCGAGAAAAAGGAGACCTGAATTTACCATATCATTAATGCGTGCTAAACCTTAGCATAAGCATTTGGTGAACAGTTACCAGGCTTTAGGGTAGGTGCTTTACTGCATACCTAATTTAATCCTCAGAGCAAACCTATGGGCTGTGGCATTATCATTTCCCATTTTAGAGATAGAGCTGAAGCTCTTAGAAAGTATTTGCTCATTGTCTTTCTAGCTAATGAACCGCCGACCAAGGTTGCAAACCGAGGTTAGTCTCAACCTGAGCCATCTCTCCCGATGCTAAGCCCAGTTAGCCTGCCCCCACCCACCCATGCAAACCAAAAGGCACAAGACAAGGCCTTACTGACAACAGCTGCAACATTAACTTTGAAAATGATTCAGAGAGAGATCAAAGAAAGTAGATTCAAACGGTATGATTATCTAGGCTCTCATTAACATTGTAAGTACTGTGTATTCCTACAAATTGTGGGAAAATAATGCAGCCTGGGACTATTACATTAAATTAGGTCACTGATTTTTAAAGACTTATCTTGACCCAAAGTAACTGAAGTAATAACTCTGCCCAGCTGGGAGTCCTGAATGGTCAGAATGGCCTGCTGTGTATTTCTGCATGTATACAAATATGTGTGTGTGTGTGTGTGTGTCTGTTTTCAAACTATGACTTAATATTTAAGTATTCCGACTGCCATTTTCAGGTTTCCTTGGTGGCTCAGATGGTAAAGAATCCGCCTGCAATGCAGGAAACCCGGTTTTGATCCTGGGGTCAGGAAGACCCCCTGAAGAAGGGAATGGCAACCCCCTCCAGTATTCTTGCCTGGAGAATCCCATGGACAGAGGAGCCTGGTGGGCTACAGTCCATGGGGTCACAGAGAGTCAGACACGACTGAGTGACTAATACACACACACACTGCCGTTTTTGTAAGTGACTAAAAAAGACATATGAAGAAATGTCTTAGAATTTCCCCATAGAGGGAAAGGGGCACTTGGGCAATCTGTCATATTTCTCAGCATCCCTCACTTTTCTCATGACTTGTGTCGCATGGAGCATGTTTATCCGATGTGAAGCGTTTTCATTGCCCAAATTCCCTGTTTATAGTTTTTGCCTTGAAGCAATAAATCATCAGCAAAGTGACTTACTGGACTGGGTGAGTTTTCCTGTATTTTCAGTTATTATGAGGCAATGATGGAAAGTTGAACACTTTCAGTAAATGTGCAGATGGTGGACATTAGGGTCCCAGACATTTTATACATGGCAATAAAAATGGCTGAAAGTTTGAAAATGCACTGAGAAATGGGAATTCTGGTATACAGACAAGACCAAGGGGACAAATGTATTGAGGTTGGAAAACATCTCATGTAAATATAAAATGAACATTTGGCATTCACTTACTCATTTATTCAATGTCTTTTTATATTCCCAGGTGCCCTGTGGGTGGGCTTCCCCAGTGACTCAGTGGTAAACAATCTGCCTACAATGCAGGAGCCGCAGGAAACTCGGATTTGATTCCTGGGTCTGGAATATCCCCTGGAGAAGGGAATGGCAACACACTTCAGTGTTCTTGCCTGGAGAATCCCATGGACAGGGGAGCCTGGCGGGCTACAGTCCATGGGGTCCCAAAGAGCTGGACACGACTGAAGCCACTTAGCATGCACGCACCCTGTGGGTACCTGGAGATCTGGGACCATGATTGCATCTTCTAAGCCTAGCACATGTCAGGGATTGGGGAGCAGGGGTTGATTGATGGATAGAGATTTACTGGGCTTCCCTGGTGGCTCAGATGGTAAAGCGTCTGCCTGCAATGCGGGAGACCCAGATTCGATCCCTGTTTCGGGAAGATACCCTGGAGAAGGACAGGGCAACACGCTCCAGTACTCTTGCCTGGAAAATTTCATGGACGGAGGAGCCTGGTAGGCTACAGTCCATGGGGTCACAAAGAGTCAGACACAACTTTTCTAGAGATCTACTGCTGGGTGCCTTGGGAACCAGGGTAGTGAAGTGAAGTGTAAGGAAGTTTGCATAAAGAGGAAGAGGAAGCTGAGAAAGGCTGGCTTATTGAGAGCAATGAGAAACATATCACCCTGTCAGCAGAGGAGACAGAATTTAAGAACGAGATAAAACGGTAGATGCAGTTCTCCTCCTGGGTGGGACTAATTAACAGGTGGACAAACGTCCCCGCAGGCAATAAAAACGATAAGGTCCTCCACATGGCTAGTCCCAGGAACTAATCCATGTTCAATAATCCGAAGATGCCTATATGTGGTTGTGTGAGTTACTTGCTTAGCCAACTGTTTTCAAAGGCGAGAGTGATATAGTCCAATTTAGAAATGGCTGGAGGAGCCATTTCATCTCTGTGAGCTTTTTATCTGTGAAGTAAGAATAACTCAACCTCACAGATAAAGATAAAAAAGGGAAAAGAAACCCTAAAGTATTCTAAATATGACTGATTATTAGTGGTTATTAGTTATTAGTGATGCCATCTCTGCAGGCTGTCCTATCATGAGGTCACATGGTCGGTGCTTTCTGCAGAGGGCGGGGCATTCAGGAAATTTTTCAGAGCAGGAATGAGGAAGGGCCTTTTCTTCAACAGTGAGTTTTCCTGACAACAGATTTAATTTCAAAAGACATAGTGATTCACCTGCTACAACCACATCCATTACTAGGAATGCCTGCAGTGTGTATGTGGAGGAGGGGCCGGCGTAGCGTGAACTAACTTCTAACTGCAACACAGCAGTGACCCAGTTCCATCCCTGGGCCGGGAAGATGCCCTGGAGGAGGAAATGGCAACCCACTCCAGTATTCTGGCCTGGAGCATCTTACGGACAGAGGAGCCTGGTGGACTAGAGTCCCTGGGGTCGCAGAGTTGGACATGACTGAGCACAGGGCGGCAGGGACCCAGCCAATGACCAGGGTGAGGCTGTGTCAGCATTTGTGTGTGAACGTAGCATCTCCTCTGACCCAAAAGGCCCTCCCAGGTGGCGCCAGTGGTAAAGAATCCACCTGTGAATGCAGGAGACACAAGAAACACAGGATCAATCCCTGGGTCAGGAAGATCCCCCGGAGAAGGAAATGCAACCCACTCCAGTGTTCTTGCCTGGAGGATCCCATGGACGGAGGAGCCTGGGTGGCTATAATGCTTGGGATCATAACGAGTCGGCACGACGGAGCAGAGCAGAGCAGAAGTGGACCACAAACCCTAACATCACCAGCTGAAGTCACCTGTATTTTTCTTATCACAATAGTGGCAATTATCTCGAGATGCTATTATGTTCATAGTTGATTTTACAATGAATAGACATCTGAAGCAGGCTGATCCCATTCTTCTCATTAAGAAACACAAAGACCTGATTGATTTTGGGTCCCAGAACCAGAAGGTCAAGTAGCCTTTGGGTTAGGACCATGATTTTACGCTTTAGAGACACAGGAAAATCTGATCTTAGAAAGCAGCAGGCTCATCTCCTCACCAATCCCATCTTCAACTCAGAAAGCCAGACGTCCCCCTTCTGCCCTTGGAGTCCATGTGGGACACAGTTGAAGAGTTTTCATGCAGCCTGAGAAGCCCAATGGATTTAGGTTACATCTAGGGCCTCCCGCGGAGAAGGCAATGGCACCCCACTCCAGTATTCTTGCCTGGAAAATCCCATGGACAGAGGAACCTGGTAGGCTGCAGTCCACAGGGTCGCTACCAATCGAATACGACTGAGCGACTTCACTTTCACTTTTCACTTTCATGCATTGGAGAAGGAAATGGCAACCCACTCCAGTATTCTTGCCTGGAGAATCCCAGGGATGGGGGAACCTGGTGGGCTGCCGTCTATAGGGTCGCAAAGAGTCGGACACGACTGAGGTGACTTAGCAGCAGCAGCAGCCTCCCAAGTGGCACTAGTAGTAAAGAATCCACCTGCCAGTGAAGGAGATGCACAAGACATGAGTTCCATCCCTGGGTCGGGAAGATGCCCTGGAGGAGGAAATGGCAACCTACTCCAGTATTCTGACCTGGAGAATCTTATGGACAGAGGAGCCTGGCGGGCTACAGTCCATGGGGTCGCAGAGTTGGACACGACTGAGCACAGCACGGCAGAGACCCGCCAATGACCAGGGTGAGGCCGTGTCAGAGACGGGGAGGGAGGAAGGGGCAGATGGGAGCCTCTGTCGTCCCCTACAGAGACTGCATGTGGTTGGTCTTGGTGTACACTTGGTCTTCCAGCTGCTGCTGAAACCCAAGGGTCTGTGAATCAAAACCAAAACAAGCAGCTAGGAGAACAGAAATAGGGCTCCAGCTGGCAAACGATCTCTAAATAGCATCTGATACATGCAAACACCTGCAAGAGTTCACTTCTCTCGATGGAAGCCCGAGCTCCCAGGAGCTGATCATGGGAGGTCTAGGGGGCCCTGTGCCATGCCCATGCATGCACCCACTGCGATGGTGATTTCCTGCTGACTCTTCTGTGCCTTCCTTTCCTTTGTTCCTGTCACACAGGACCTGACACAGAAAAGGCATTTTCTGTGAATGTAGAATAAGAAGGAGCCTACGTGCTGCTCCTCCTCCTCCTGTGTCTAAAGCAGGGCCCTTATGCTAGAGGTCCTTGGACCAAGGATCCATGGATTAAATTCAGGGGTCGTGTGCTTGGATG